CTTATTTCTCCATCAATTTTGAAAGATAGTTTTGCAGGGTACATCAATCTGGGTTGGAGGCTGTTTTCCTTTAGAGCCTGAAATACATCACTTCAAGCTCTTCTTGCCTTGAGGGTTTGCAATGAGAAGTCTGGTGTGATTCTGATGGGCTTTCCTTTGTATGTGATTTGTTTCTTTTCTCTAACTGCTTGTAGAATTTTGTTCTTCTGTTAGATTTCTGGAATCCTCACTATTATATGCCTGTGTGTAGTTTTTTTTTTATTAAGGCTAGCTGGACTCCTATATGCCTCACTTAACTGTATGTCAAGTTCTTTTCCCCTGCTTGGGAAGTTTTCTGCCATCACTTCTGCGAACAGTTTTTATGTCATCTGCACTCTCCTGTTTCTTCATTGAGCTCAATCAGTCTTATGTTATTCTTCTTTGCATCGTCTAGCAGCTGCTGGATTGATCTGTTGTGTTTCTTTACAATTTTAAAGCAATTTTTCTTTTCCTCCTCACTAATTGCAATCTTATCTTCCATATGTGAAATTCTGTCCTCACATTGGTTCATTCTGCCATACAGACTTTCGATAGAGTTTTTAATCTCCTGGAAATCTGTTTGCATCTGTTTTATGGATTACATTTGTTTCATGTGTTGGGATTCCATCATGTTCCTCAGATCCTCTATATTTTTATCTGTATCCTCTCTAGATTATTAATCATGTCTTGCACTATGAGCACAAACTTTGCTGTTATCTGAGTAATTATTTCTGATTTATTTTTTCCCAGATCCTCTTTTGTTGCCAGTTCAGAGAGTCCAGGTGGTTGAGTATCAGATTGCTCCATCTTGTTTCCCTTTGGCTTTGCTGTAGGTGATCCGAAAGTCTATTTTTGAGGTTTGTTTATGTGTCTTCTCATTTCCTCGGCGGGGTGGGGGGTGCTTCTAGCACCCACGCAGCTCAGCTTCTCTGCCCTAGGAGCATGGGATGGCATCGGGGGAGCTTCCTTCCAGGTGTTGGGACCAGCTCAGCTTCTCTTGGTCTCTCCTCTTAAATGACATGTTTAAACATATGAATGCTTGGACCTGTAATGTGTGAGATCTTGCTGGTGTCTGAGATGCCCTGAGGGTATCTTCCTTCTTGTCCTCGTTCAAAATAATTGATTTTGTGGTTTTTTTGGTACTGGAGATCAAACTCAGGTCCTTGCACTTAATTGATTTTTTTAATGCTACTAATCTTGTCATTTACCTCAAATTTTTGGGTGTATATTTACATATATTTTGTTTCTGTCAAAACTCCAAGTTTTTCAAATATTTTGTCTCTGATTTTTGCTTCCAATACTCAATATAAATCTAAATTATTAGATTTCCTATAGAAATAAAATTTTGTAGTATTTGTCTTTCTGTTCTCAAATTTTGCACTGTGTTTCATGTCCTGAATTATATATATACTGTCACAAATGTCAACCTTTCTGCTTTTGTGCATGAATAGGATTGTGTATATATGCCACAATGTATTTATCCTTCCATATCTTGATGAACACAAGGTCCTTCCATACTGTGGCTCTCTTGAATAGTTTGGTGAAAAGTAAGGTTGTCTAGATCATGGCTCCACATTCTACTGAAGGAACAGTGACAGTGGAGCTCAGGATAGCATTGTCCCATCCAGGACCAGACCTTCCTTTTCTTTCTCATCCATAGCTAAAGTTTATGGCTGTGGTGTTGGAATCCAGCACAAAATGACAATCCAGACATGGAAAAGATGTCTCAGGAGTTGGGAATACTTCCTATGATGTGGATGTTTTTCCAGCCATGTTTTGATTCAGTTTGTCCTTCTGAGTGCTAAGCCAAAGTATGTGCATTGAAGTTGAGCATCTGTCATGAAAGGGGTCCTTTCTCCATCCTGCACTCTCATCTCCACCATGAGAGGACTGGCCAGGGAGATGCTGGATGCAGAGTGAGAATCCTGGGAGCAGGCACAGCACTAACCTGCAGCCTGAACCTCATCCACACTCGGTCCAGACAAGAGTAGCATTGCCTGTATTATGGCAGAGAGGATGTGGCAGGCAGGATGATGTGATAATGCAGAGTTCAAATCTTTCCTTATGAAGCATCACTGAAGTAAAAAAAAAAATGCCTTAAACACAAAGTATTATTATGAGAGTATCTGGATAGAATTATTAATTATACATTAATTGTTTTGAGAGAAAGATGAAAAGTTACCATACTTTCACACAAAATAACTGAAGAAAATTTATTAATTCTACATTTAAGTAAATATAATGAACTGAATAAGATAGACAATTATCATAATCATTGTACTTATGTTACAAGAAGTTGCTACAAACATCTGATTACCAGATTCTAACCTACTCTCTCTAGAGAATTTTCAGATTTATATCTCTGCTAAATTCTGATCACATTCTCATCAACTGAAATGACCCCTGAGTGATGTAGGTTTGTTTGTCAATGTTTGTGTAAAAATGTCAATCTTATGAGGCACAGCAGGAAGTTACATGCTGCAACTTTTTTGGCCTGGCCCACGTGCAGGTATTGAGACTTCACAAATATTGTATGCACCCTGCCTCTCTACCTTTGCTGCAAAACCTTGTCAGTCCAGGGTGGCCCGGTAGGTCCTGGGAGCCCCCTCCTGGTCCTTAGTGGCCCTGCAGCGAAGTTTGTGTCTGAGCCTCCATTGAGGTTCCCTCACTGTGTGTCTTGCACAGTAATACATGGCTGTGTCCTCAGTGCTCACGGAGCTCAGCTGTAGAGAGAACTGGTTCTTGGATGTGTCAGGGGTTATGGTCAATCGGCCTTGCAGAGATGGTGCATACTCATAATTCCAGTTGGACCTGTAGTATGTCCTTCCCAGCCACTGGAGACCTCTCCCCAGGGGCTGCCTGATCCAATTCCAAGCAGCACTGGTGCTAGAGACAGTGTCCCCAGAGATGGTACAGGTGAGGGTGAGAGTCTGTGAAGGCTTCACCAGTCCTGGGCCCAACTCCTGCAGCTGCACCTGGGACAGGACACCTAGGAACAAAAGGAAGCAGTAAAGTTAACACCTGTGGCCTACAAATTCTGCCCATAAAAGCATATTTCCTGAATACTGACCCTGAGGGAGACCCAGTGCAGACAGGAAGACAAGCAAGGAGACAGTCATTTCTAGGGCACTGTTGACCATTCTGAGCTCCAGATTTCAGCCAGAATTCAGCAGGCTCTGCAGTCCATTGCAGAAGCTGATATTTAAACAGAAGTGATGCCTCATTTGCCTATGCATCTGACTTCCCGCTATAAGGCCATGGAATGCAGACAGCTTCTGAAGCTCAAGGACCTTCAGGCTTACAACCCAGCTTTCTCTGTAGCCATTTGCTTCAGCATATTAGAACTAAGACAGGGGAAAAGATAGAAGTGCCTTGAGGTTTAAATCTAGAATGGGTAGATCATGATGCTTTGAGAGTTCCAGCATAGAGAATCTTACATCAACTACAGTCTAAATGGCCATAGTAATTGACTGCAACCTTTCATTTCTTCAGTCTGGCATTCATTCACTAAAATCCAAAAGCCAATAGAACATGCCCTTCCCTCCAGGCATTGAAGATGCATTCATGAGAATGGCATGGGGTGGCCATACATAGATTGCTTCAGTCAGTAGGAGGAGGAGCAGAGTGTTCAAAAGGACAGACTGTGTTTGCAAGACTAGGTCACTTATGCTGTCATGGTGACACTGTGACTCAAGACATAAGGAATGGCCATGACAGCCTATCTGGAGGCAGGTTCCTCACACCTAAACCAATCCCTTGTGGGACTCATAGGTAGGAGCCAATGTGGAAAACTCTGGAGGTGTCACACCCATAGGTTGGCCCTTTGAAGTTGTGACAATGTTTGGGGAAGCCTTACAAGACAGCTTAAATCTCATATACAGGAAAGAATGAAGGGCTCCATGGGTGTGTGGGAAGGAAGTAGCTGAGGAATTTCTTAAGAATTACAGGGGCTGCAAACATTGAGATCCCCACAACATTTAAGATAGCATGAGAGCAAGCACAGCTACATCCAGGGATGTACCCATGTCACACATGGATATGAACCTGTCCTCTCATAAGTGATGAAAAGTGCTTTCTGTTGCTCTGCGATCTGGAAGTATGGAGGCTCAAGATGGCAGGTGCATTTTGTGAGGGCCAAGTGTGTCAGCACAAGGTGAGAAGTGATCAGGTGTGCAAGACAGCAATGGAGAGGAGTGGCACCATGCTCACTTGATAGCCTCCCACACGTAGCCACCCATGCAGTTCCACAAAATGAAAACTGACTCCCTTGAGAAAGTGTTAATCTCTTATGACAGCAATCTTCTGAAGGCTGGCTTCAAATGTGTAAAGACTACACTATTTCTTCCCCAGTTTCCTATTTGTTTGAAGAATGAGGGCAAATCCTTTTTACACCACCATAGCTTGAACTATTGGAAAATGATATGTTAGAAAAGTTTAACCACACAGTGTAAGCTGACCTGAAACTCAAGATGCACAGCAGTTACATTAAGCTTCTCTAGATTAAATCTCTGTGTGTTTTCCTCGGCAGAGGCAGGCAGAGAGAAGCCTGTGTGTGGTTAACTCAACCAGAGGTCACTGCTGTTGCAGGGTTGCTGGCCTGTCTCTTGGTACTGTCTAGGGCTGGGCAGTTGTCTCCTCAACATGGCAGTGTTGCCAGGTGCAGAAGCCCAAGGATGTAGGAAGGATTCCTTCAGAAGTTTCAGTTAACAGAGGTGTTAAGTGTCTTCCTCCATGAGGTGATATTAAAGGAAAGATGAAAAATGAAAAGGGCTTTGGGTTAATGTTTCCCTGACAAAACTAAAAAAGACAGATCTGTCCCTTCTGTCAGGCTGTTCCTCAGGCCAGCTGTTCCTTAGGCCCAGGTCTTTGCTCTGTGTTCCTGAGAGCCCTCTGCAGATGCTGAGAGCTCACTGCTCCCATTCTGGGCCAGAATGACTCTGAATTTGTTTGGGTTGCACTGATGTCTCCTCCCTGTGACTCTCACACAGTCACACATGACTTTGTCATTGGTGGTCAGGATTTCAGCTGTCAGGAGGACTGGGTCTTGGGCATGTCACTGGAATGTCCCTGGAGAAGCAGCCCTGCGATGCTTGGGGGGATGTGTTTTACTGCTTGAGCTGAGGCCCCCCACATATTCCTGTCCATTCTCTAGGGGTGCAGAATCCAGGCCCAGAAGTATCCCCAGGTGTTGGAGAATCCAGATATGAAACATGTGAGGGAGCAGATCTGTGAGGCTTCACCAGGCTTTGCTCATATCTGGCAGCTGCACTTAGGAAAGGACACTTGGGGACAAAGAAAAATATTGTGAGTCACAACATACTATAACCCATTCCTCAACTTGTATCTTTGAGGAACTCATGTGGGGGTGTAGTCACCAATCAGGAGACAACATAGCACAAGCTCCTGTTTTCCTCAACAATAGGCACCATTTTCGCAGACACAGAATCACATCAGTGCAAAACATCAAAACAAAACAAAACCAATGACAGTCTTTCTCAAGCCTGGTGCTGGGCCTCCCTTGGTCAGTGGAAGTGGACATTGTGTTTCTCCACGCTGGTGTCTTCAAGAGTCTGCAGAGCAAACTGGTGTGACTCAGGTAGATCCTGCTCTCCTCTCACATTCCACTACTTGTTAGCCTTCCCGTGGTGGAAACAGGTTGGGTATCATGCTGGGTAGCTACTGAAGGAGGAGAATGATAGGGAAGCAAAAAATGGAATAAAAACTCTGCAGGGGTAAAGAATGCCTATGCAGGGGAAGGAACACTTGGCAATACATTCTTTAATTTTCAGGGAGCTTACTTAGGAGCAAAGAGTCTCAGTAAAGTCACAGACATCCCAACCCTGTTAGACATGCACTGAGAAATCTCATCAGCCAGGAGAAGGTACAGATCCCTGAGGGCAAAGCCCACTTTCCCAGGGTATATCAGAGAAACCTCTCCTTGAAGGTTTTCTAACATCAAACAAAGAGAGGGCTCCATCACTGCATATCTCAATTCAGCATTGGAAAAGCCAAAGTTACTTTTTGACTCAATATAGAGAAAACTATCCTAAGATAAATTCATTGTCTCACTGCAGTTCACACATAGAAAAAATACATAAAATATTTAATATGTTAGTTTTGCCCCAAATTTACTCAAAATGTGAAAGAAAAGTAAAATAGTGAGCACACTGAATTGCACATTGTAAGAGAATACTCGGTGAAACAATTGTATCTTTTCCAAATAGGGACACTTATGATCCACTGTGTGGTGACAGTTAAAGGCCAGAACTAGATACCTGCAGAAGTCACAGCTTGCCTGAAGTAGGACTTTCTGAAGCAGAAGTATGTGATGATGTATGTCTCATACCTCTGTTCAAGGCACACAAATGATGTGCGTGGAGCATATGAAGCCCTGACCCGCTTCCTCTAGAGGATTGTGTAGACCCCATCTAAGCAGAGGAAGAGCTGCACTAGGATATGGGGCCCCAGAGCAGGGGTCTGAGTGTCTCCATCGATGATAGATACCCAGCTCTTCCCTCCATCAGCACCAATGTAGCCTTGGCCACAAGGTCTTGTGCAGGATCATTCCTGTTCCCCACATGAGGCCACACAGTCTGAGACTGCAGGGTGGAGAGGCTGAATCTGGACAAGAGCTACTGCTGCTGCCATAGCAGGTTCTCCTCCCAACTGCTCCACCCAGAAGGCAGAGCTGATGATGACAATGCTGTATGAAAGCAGATACTGGGGCCTTCAAGACAATTGGGACAATTGGGGTGTTTCCTAACAATCTCTCTTTTCATCCACCTATTTCTGTTTGTGGGCAAAATCCAAGGATCAGTGCTGTGTGACAGGTCAAAACTCAGTGTAGGAACTGAAGGTGAACAATCTGGTTTCCTTACCGTCTTTATATTGGTGGAGAGAAGATAGAAAGTAACTCCATCTCCTTAAGTTTCCTGAAGGAGGCAACATTCTGTCACCTGCAAAATAATGGGGGCTTCTGTCATTGACACAGTCGTCAAGAAGGCCTCTCTGATGAGCTCAAAGCTTCAGGGAGACAAAGAGGCAGCCACATCTAGAAGGTCGGTAGGAAAGATAAGAGCAGCTGGTGAAATTCCCCAGGCGAGGCAGCTGTTATGTTTTGGGAAACAGAATAGCACAAGAAGGAAAAATCTCCCACCTGTATTTCTCATTTTCCCTTTACATGACTGACTGTTACAATGCTTCTCCACTCCACTTTTTTCAAGGCAAAGAATGGAGAAGAAACCAACAATGGGCCTTACAAGCAGCTGCCAAACTTATGGCACTAAAGTCTATTTTCTTTTCAGCTGCTTCTGCAGAGGAAATACTAGGTTATCTCTGTGTCTCTGTCTGTCTCATCTTCTATCCCACTTCTCCACATATCAGTGAGTACATTAATTAGTCAATTTATTAATTAGTCTGTTTATTAATTTCACAAATGTTGTCAGGTTGTATCTACTAGAAAAATTCTTATCACTAACTGAAACAGTTTGAGTTGTCTCTCAAATTTTACCTGCTGGAAATGTAGTTCTCAATTCGTGGTGCTGAAAAGTGGGTCATTTGGGAGGTGATTGGGCTCTGAGGGCCTCCTCCTCGGGGGATTAAATTACTCAGATATGTGGATTTTGGAGTGAAGCTGAGGTTTTTGCACATGAGTAGATTCTCTTTAGAAAATTAATTTACTTCTTAATTGTCAAAGAAAACTTTATTTGCACAAGAGAATGTCCTGGAATATTTCTTCAGAGGGCAATGGCCCAATTTAGCTAGTTAACACCTCTGCAAACTTACATGCTCACAATTTTAGAGGTTCTAAGTTTCTCTCAGACATGAAACAGGGTGGGAAATACTCACAACATGCTGGCCTGAATGTAGTAAAAAAAACAAAAGGAAACCAGGAGCCACTGCTGTCCATAAAGTGGGCCATGTGTTTAATCCACTGTGAGGAGCAGCAATGCCCAGTGAAGATGTTACAGGGAGGGACGCCAGGAGAAGGGTGGGGACCCTAGACCTGAGGAGTAAGCTGCCACCCATGTGATGCTTGCTCACGGAGTACCACTGAGCCCATAATGGTGGCTTGTAATTAGAAACCATATGAGTAGGAGAGGGGAGAGGCTTTGCAGGCAGTGTGATGCCCAAAACAAGAGGTAAACCTATAGATGCTCTGCACAGGGTGTCTTTCTGATGTTTCTAATATTGTAATAGGAATCAACAATGAACAGCTAGAAATGAATCTACAACTGAAGAACAGACTTTAATAAAGAATAACATTCTGATGTGTGCAAACTAAAAGTATGTATTATAGTTGTAGGCACTCAAATATGTAAGCTTGTAATGAACAAATCACACCACACTTGAAATCCACAAGGGAACAAATATTAGATATATATTTCAGATCTCTAGGAAGAAAATACTTTATTATTAATGCCCTCATGTCAATTAGTCTGCTATGATAGAAAACAAAAGACCAGAAAAGACGCAAAAATAAACAATAAGTCAGTAATATGGTCAGATTTTATTAAGGCTGCTGCTAAACAATGTCCTTTTCATGTAGGCCACTGACTGTACCTGGAGTGGAGTGAGGCTGGGCAGAAGACAGAACCTGAGCCAGCTGAGTCAGGATCCCATGTGTCCAAACCCCCATCCCTAGAACCTGTCTCTCTGTGACCAGGTCATGGCAATGGGACCTTTCTGGATGGTTAAATCAGAGATCTTAGTGGTTCCACTGCCTGCCTCGCAAGTGCAAGGTCAGTCCGCGGTACAAGAAAAAATAAACACAAAAATAAATAAAATGAAATAAAGAAATCAGAGATCTTGACAGGGGAAGACGTGACCCTACATTACCTGAGTAGAATCAACATAATCCCCTCTATCCTAATAGGTAGGAAAAAGGAGGTCAGAGCCAGAGCAAAGATGATGTATTTATGACAGCAGAGATTACAGTGATGGAGTTTGAAGATGGAGTAGGGGGTCATGAGCTAAGAAAGACAGGCAGAACCTAGAATTTGGAAAATTCTTACATTCTTAGAATCTGGAAAAGGCATGATAATTGGTATGTCACTTTCAAGAGGAATCAGCTCTGTCAACATCACACTTTTAGACCAATAGCACTTTAGAGGCTCTGAGAAGCTGTTCCCTGAATGTGTCTCTGCCTTGGAAAACAGTGTGGAGCTCCTACCATGTGTGTGTGTGTGTGTGTGTGTGTGTGTGTATGTGTGTGTGTGAATCAAAGAGATGTCAGGGAAGATTCTAAGGGGCTCTCTAAGGCCTGAGACACCCTGACTGCAACTGGGCAGGAAGAGGATGATGTAGAGCAAGAAGGTTGGTGGCAGAGGCAAATTTTTAGATGTGTAAACATGGGGCGCACATTAGCTATCCAAGTGCAGACACAGAGTGAGGAGTCCTGTGGATGAGTCTAGAGCTGAATTGGTAGGTTGGTGAGGGGAAATTTGGTTCTGAACCCAATAAATATAAATGTGTTCTAGGGATCTAGTAGAAAATAGTGAATAGTGATCCTTGGTAGCGCCTAAGTGGCATATTTGAGTGAGTGAGGATGACAGAGGAAGAAATAGGTAGTGAGTGTAACCCCAGTCTCTGAAGTGACCTGTAGCCTCTCTTTGCATTGGTCCCTGGGGTTGAGCTCTGAGCTTGGTGATCATGGCTGCACCCTGCTGGTCATGAGCACAACTGTAGGGAGGTTTTTGTCTGGGCTCACATTGATATCCTCTCACTGTGTCTTGCACAGTAATACACGGCGGTGTCCTCGGTGGTCACGGAGTTCAACTGCAGGAAAATCTGGTTCTTGCCTGCGTCACCAGTGATGGAGATGCGGTCCTGGAAAGCTGGGTTGTAGTTTGTACTACCTCCTGCATAGTACCCCATCCACTGTAGAGCTTTCCCAGGAGGCTGACGGATCCAACTCCAAGCATAGCTACTTATGGAACCCCCTGTGACTGTGCAGGTGAGGGACAGGGTCTGCGATGGCTTCACCAGGCTAGGTCCTGACTCCCGAAGTGTCAGATCAGACAGGACACCTGAAGGCAAGGAGAGTCATGGTGAGTCTTTCCCTTCCCACTCTCAGGCCCCTGCAAAACACTTAGAGACCCCAGGACCCTCACCCAGAGGAGCTGCCATCAGGCACAGAAGGGTCCACAGCATCTGCATGGTGCCTGCAGGATGGAGACCTCAACACTGGCCCAGTCTGTCCCCGGTGATTTCTTCTACCAGCGCCCAGTGTGATTTGCATGTGTGTCTGGGTGGTATAAGAGGCTGAGCCAGGGTGACTGCCACAGGTTCCTAAGACCTGGTGCTAGGTTGTGGGAGCTGCTGGGCCTGGCAATGGTGGTCTGGGATTTAGTCCTGGTCAAGTGTTTTCTGTTCCTCTGACTTTGCTGTATTGGTGCTGAAGTCTCTGGTCCTATAAAGAAAATGTTGATGATTCCCCTCTGCTGTCCGGCCATCATGCTGTGGCTGTCACTTTAATTTTTGGAGAGTCTCTTTGTGGTAGCATTCTTGGTGGTGGTTCAGACTCTGCCTTGGCGCACAAGCCTGGAGACACAGAGAGACTGTCCTGGTCCATCTCAATCAGATACGGCTCTGAGGAAGATTCCTATTGATTCTCTCTCCAGTGTCTCCATCTACAAAAAGGAATAGTGAACCGGCCATGATACAAGAAAATGTCTCAATTCACACCAGCTCCTGAACAGGATTTTGACCATAGGCAATCATATCTGAGAAGACTTGGGCAGGTGACAGCTAGTGACAACAAGGCAGAGGGCATGGGTGGCACTGTTTAGATTCATTCTTGTGAATCGTTACTGAGCATTGAAAAGTACTGTCCACAAGACTAGGGTCTTCCTGAACTCCATAGAGTACACAGAGCCCATGATGGGGAGCCCAGGGATGTGCAGTCAGGCAAAATAGATTTTTATTCAAAGTGACCAGTAGAGGAATTAAATAGTATGTCACTTCCTGGACTGTGATGTCCTTTTATAAACCCCAGTTTGTTTTTCCTGAAGTTCTGGACTGGTGAGTGGAGGCCACTTGCTTGTGGCATGGATTTTGAAAATCTTTTCTCAAAATCTCCCAGCCAGACCATCTGCAAAAGACCAGGCTCAGACCCTCTCAAAAGAATCAGTGTTGAAATAGATGATACAGAAGTTGAAGAGGCTCAAGATGAAAAATAAAATAGGAAGTTAAATTGGAGTGTGAGCAAATTCTCAAAAAAGTTAGGCACTTTGGAAACTCTACATCACCAAAGAGTTTGCCAGATGGAAAATCAAGAACTAAAGACTATGAGTCATACACTGACAATGATACCTGCAGTCAGGAACCAGAAAGTAATTTTGAGAAAGAACTTCAAAAGTACATATGAGCTAAAGAAATGGCAAATGCTGCCCAGCCCCTCCCACCTTCTAAAGAATCTGTGACAAAAGAGAGAGTAAAAGATACTGTGCTAAACCAAAATCTAACAATCTTAAACCTGGTCACAAGAATGGTAGAGAGAAGAAAATGAAACAAAAACAGGCTGGCACTGGAAACAAAGGGCCAGAAGCCTTATCGCAGAAGAGTGGTCCGAAGGAAGAGGATGCTGAGCCTAAGGAGAAGCAGCAGCATGTGAGAATGAGTCAGAGAGTCAGCCCGCAGCATACAGTGGAACGCAAGGGGAGGAAGGTTTGCAAATACTTTCTTGAAAGGAAATGCATTAAGGGAGATGAGTATAAGTTTGATCATGATGCAGAGATGGAGAAGAAAAAGGATATGTGTAAGCTGTATGGACAAGGATATTGCACCAGAGGTGAAAAGTGTCTGTATTTGCATAATGAATATCCTTGCAAGTGTTATCAGGGAGAGTACTGCAGGTTTTCACATGCTCCACAGACTGCTGAAACAGAACTGTTGGCTAAAGTTGTGGATACTGAAAAAAGACATGTAAATAAAATAGTCAAGAAAAGCTTTTGTATAGATAAAGAGTGGTTACGCCTGTTGTGTGTTCCAGCCTGTCCCAGACTGGTGATTTGCACTCACAGGATTCCTCATTTCAGGCACCCTCTGGTGTCCTTGCACTGATGTACAGCTTGTTAACAATGGCACAGAGGGATGGAGTGGCCTGCACAGTGAAAGAAGGGGTTGGTCTTCTCCGAGGTGCTCCAGCTCTTGGGTCAGGAGAGGAGCACAAACGCCAAGATGCAGGCTTGTGGGTTCATGTGGCAGTAAATTGCAGCTGTGTTTTCTGTTTGACTGAGATTTCTCAATAAAATAAGAAGCAAAGCTAGTCTAAATGAGAATGAGTGAAGAAGTCGAGGAAGTTAGGAAGTCATTGGGAAAATATAACAGTTAGATCTTTCCATGTCATTAAATAATCTGACAACACATTTTTAATGATAGCTCACAATTCTATTTTATAGCTTACAAGGTATGATTCTGTGTTTTATTAAACCAATCTTCTATTGGACATTTGTTTCCAGTTTCTTACTATTATAAATAAAGCATAGTAATATCTCTTGAAAAAAAAAGCCCAGCTCCCTTCATGAGGGCCCCAGAGGTGAAGTCCTCACAATATGCAGATTCTCTCATCAGGCTCTTTGTGACTCCCTCCAAGTATGGACACACTGCCGCTGTGAGTTCTTGTGCAGGCAGTTTCCACATCAACTCTGGAAAATAATAGAAGAGGAAAGTGTGTTGATGAAGAAACCCTGCAAAGAGCAGTGGACTGGTATAGTCCTTGTCTTTAATAAAGTTGAGACAGCAAAAACCTTATCCATTCCTAAAGTAAGAAGAGAACGCCATTAGAAAGATGGTGCAGATAGGAGTTAATGCCTATGAGGCAACATCGATGAAGTTGAAAATTTGAATACAATTCTAATAGATCTAGTTGGGTATTCCAGAGAGAAGGAAAACACTATTTTTTAAAATATAAGAAATATTTTTTTAAATCTTCTTCTCTTTGTCTGTTTCACCATTTATCTATTCACTCATTGAATGACACATTTCTTTTCAATATGGGGCAGTTATGACTGAAGCACCTATAAAATTCCTATGCCATTTTTTCTAGTAGATATTATTCTTTGTTTCATTGAATTTTACTTTAATTCTGTTTAAGCTGATATATAAAAACATCAAAATCACACATATTTTAGAATTCCTTGTGATGTTTCAATAGACGTGTAAATTCTATAGGGCTTAAATAGAGTAAACTTGTCTACTGCTTGAGAATTTATCCTTTATTTGTGGTGACACCACTAAACTCCCTTCTGCTAGATTTGTGTCATACACAGTGCAGTGCTGTTATGTATGGTCACCCTACTGAGTAACAGCACACCAGAGCTCTTGTGTCTAGGGGACTCTCCCACAGTACCCATTGATCACCCTCTCCCATGCTTCCCTCCCCCATCTGCACATCTGATAGATACCTAGGACATGTGGTTCACTTGGCTGTGTCTGATGATGCCTGGCTTTGGAAAGTCTGTCACAGTGTTTTCCATGTTGATTTACCTTGTTGGGTTTCCACAAGGTGTGAGAGGTGAATGAGAACAAGAAGTGAGAATTGTGCTTTCTCAACAAGTCACCACGTCCAAGGACACGCCCCATGACCTACTTCCTGACACTAGGCCCCACCTTCCAACAGCCCATTTCTGTCTGACTCCATCAATGGGTTAGTCCACTTAGCACATTGGTGTCCTCATGATCTAATCACAGGTCCAGGCCTCACATTTTAATATTGCTGCACTGGGAGTCAAGTCTTCCATACAGGAGCTATAGGGGCCAGTCTAACTCCAAACCATAACCCTAAACCAGTGAGGGCTAACATTTTAGAGAGGATCACTCAAACTGCAACACAAAATACTTATTTATTGCAAAGTGTCAGCCCTGCAATTAAACCTGAATACTGAAGTTTTAGTTTAGAAAAAAATCAACTCAAACATTAACACCATTTGTCTTAAAAGAACACCAAACAACACCAATGCCATAGGTTCACCACAGCTTTCTAGGCTTTTTCACAACTATGCTTGTCCAGCATTATACCTACAGCTCAGTAAGGGTCCATGCTATGGTTATTTCTATTCTGTTGCTCTATGGATTTGAGGCACAAGATATGTCCTATCTGTGGCCAGTCTGGGTGGCTACCTAGAACTCCTCGTGATAAACATCTTAAAAACTTTTTAATTTTATTTGTACATGTTTGAATTCATTTAGTTTACAAGTGTCTTAGGGAACGGTTACATGTATATATGACACCATTCTTCTTTCTTTTATTAATGCCCTTTCCCTCCCCTCCCCCATGATGCACCTTTATATACAGAAAATTTGTCTAGCATGGACAATTAAGAAGACCATGTAGAACTGAACAATTAACAGTAAGACAGGGCCCACAGATTCTGGGGAGGAGAGGATCCCCAGAGGCTGCCAGGAAGGAACCTTTGACATTTTCCAGATTTGCAGAGTGGAGAGAAAAGAGACTTGAGAATCAGCCTGGGATCTTGTACAGGAGGAACCTGAGGCTGTCTCTGTGCTGCTCTTGCATAGTAATAGGCTTCTGTGTCTGCAGGGTCCACCCTGGTCATCGTGAGGAACACCTGGGTGTTGGAGTTGTCCTTGGAGTTGTGAGCCAGCTCTTCAGGGCTGGGCTGTAGTACTTATCATCTTCCCAATTAATGGTTGCCAGCCACTCCAGGCCCTTCCCCGGAGGCTGACAGATCCAGGATAAACCTATAACAGGTGTGCTCAGTGAGAAGCCAGAGAAGGAGCAGGTCAACCTGAGGGTATGTATGGGTGGGGATCACTGGGCCAGGGCCAGACTCCTTCAGGGTGACTTGGGACAGGACCCCTGTGGAGAAAGAGAAGAAGGTGAAGCTGGTTTCAGTAAGGAAAGGAGCCTTTGCATCCCTGAGGCCCTGACCAGGGCACTCACAGGTAGGAACGGTCATCAGAAGGAGGGTGGACCAAAGACTGTCCATGGTGGGCACCAGAATCCTGATCCAGGCCCTTCTGGTCTTTTTAATCCAGAAGATGAGGAGCTGTAGAATTTGCATTCCCCTCACTGAATTTCTAACCCTAATTAGAGGACTCAGGACTCAGAGGGAGCGAGTCTGTGATGAGTAACACATGGGTCCTCACTGGTGGCTTCCATGTCTGACCCCAAGCAGGAACACTTGCCCAAGTCAGGACCAGGGTCTCAGGAC